CGAGCACCCCCATCACCCTGGGGCGGGCATCGCTGCACCCGCTGCAGGGCTCCGGGGCCTGAGCATCCCTCGGGGACTCTCCCTGTCCTCCCATGGCATATCCCAGCGTGGGGATACGGATCTAGACCCCGGAAGAGCTGTACCCAAGCGGCCAACCCACTGGATCGTTACCACCGTCCCCAAGGGAGCATCCTCGGCGCCCCAGGATGGGCATCGCTGCACCCTCAGCAGAGCTCAGGGCTCTGGATCCCGGAGCATCCAGCCCCCGGGGTACCTCCCTGTGCCCTCAAGGCGTATCCCAGCGCGGGGACAGGGATCAGGACCCCGGCGGAGCTGTGCCCCCGCTGCCAAGCCGCCGGCTGTCGCCAGCCCCGTGGCTGGCGTTACCTGTCACCGCTGTCACTCCGCTCCCATCCCGCCAGCTGCCACGGCGCGGGGATGGAATACCAATGAGGATCGGGGAGCTGCAGCCTCACGGGGCCCCCCCATCGCTGAGCAGCACGGCAGAGACCCCCAGGGATGGGGGACAAGGTGTGCCAGGCACGGGGGTGGCAGCTGCCCCCAGCGAGGTGCTGAGACCCCTCCAGCTCGTGACATCCAGCGAGGTGGGACACGGAGCTGCCACCAGCACGTGCAGCCTCCGTGGATCCTCCTGGCAGGATCCATGAGGGGGATCCATGGTTTCATGCCCAAGGGGACACACCTGAGGCCACTTCCATCCCCTTGGGGCCATGCACCCCAAAAACAGATCCAGGAAGGAGCCCTGGGGCATCACGTGGGGCTGGGACCCTCCAACCCCATCCATCCCCCTGCAGCACCAAAATAATCCCAAAAAGATCCCTAAACCCTCCCAACCCCCTCCCAAACCCCAGTCCTCCCTCTCGCCGGGGAGGCTTTGGGCAGGTTTCAGCTGTCCCCGCGCTGTAATTGTCCTAATTAGATCGACAGATTTTGATGAAGGTTTCACAAGGAAAAAGAAAGCAGGGAGGCAGGAGGAGATAATGGAATCGCAGATGACATTCCCATCACCCAGCCTCTCCCACAGCCGCCGCTGCAGCCCGGTCGGAAAATTATGCGTGAGGGGGGAGGAAAATTACCATAATCTTCCTCTGCAGGATGACACCAAATTCGGCTGGAGCGGAGAGGGGGGACAGGAGCTGCTCTGTCCTAGCCGCGGCAGTGCCACCACTAGTGTCACCTATCGGTGTCACACCTGCCTGCTCTGTGTCCTGTGGCCACCAGCACCCACCGGGACCCTGGTCTGGGACCCCTGGGTCTGCCCACCCCCCCTTCTTGCAGCACCCGTGGGCGGGGGTCTCCCTGCACCCCCATCAGCCTCTGGGTATGTGGGGCTGGTGTCACCCCTGGGTCACTAATGGTGACCTCCCGTGGGTTTGGGGACATCGGGGGTCACAGAAGGGACACGTGGGGACGCTGCCCAGTGTCCCCAGGCAGGGTACATCCCCTTTGAGGGGAGAGCAGTGGGTAACACTGGGGTGTCACCCTCCAGCTCCAGCCTCTCCCAGCCCCCCAAAACAGCTGGAGGCAAAGCAGGAGCCACTCCCCATCTGGATGCTGATCCTGGCTCCCATGTGGATGCTCTGCCCAGGCAGGATCCAGCCCAACCCACCCCTAATTAAAAAATATATCTATATTTCAGAGCTTCAAACGGTGCCCGATGCCTGCGGGAAAACTTCCAGCCCGTTTATCCCCCTTTTCCCTGATCCGGCCACACCGATGCCGGGACTGAACTCAACTCTCCCGCAGCTTTTCTCCCAGCCTCGTGTCCCCTCCCTCCCAAATTTGCTCCCTCCTTCGCAGGGCATTTCCATGAAAATGGAAAGGCGCTTTGTTTCTCGGGATTTACTCTGCCCGTTCCCCCCCACCCCCAGCCTGTGCCTGCCTTTGTCCTCCGCAAACACGGAACAAAAGGGGAAGAGACGGAGAAAACATGACCGAGGCTCCAAACGGGCTGGTTTGGGCCCCAAATTGCCCATGAAGCTCCGGATGCTCCGAACGAGCCTGGCTGATGGATGAGGCCGTGGGAGCTGCACCAGGAGCGGATTGATCAGCTCCCGGCAGAGCTGCCAGGGCCATTCGTGGGAATCTGAGGGAGGAAGAAATTGAGAGTGAAAGGGGAGAAAGAAGGAAATAGGGAGGGATTGGGGAGAGATTCCTGTCGCTGGTAACGATGAATGCTCCTGGCTCACGGCGCTGGATTGGGTAATCCACCTTTCTCCTCTGCACCGGCGGGAGAAATTCCAGTAAACTGGGGGAGAAATCAAATCCTGCTGCAGCTGGAACAGGGAATCTCCGGTGAACGTGTCCTGTCGTGTCTCCTGTTCCCTCTGCCAGCTCCCACCTCTCCCACAACGCCTTCCAGCATGAACACTGTGCAGAGGGACCCGGGAAGAGCAAACCAGGGGCTAGGTGGTGACAGCAGTGCCACCATGCTGGGACTGGTGCAGGGACACCCTGCTCCATGTGCACATGTGCACATATTGGGAGGAATTCGGGAGGAATTCCTCCATGGAAAGGGTGGTCAGGCACTGGAAGGGGCTGCCCAGGGAGGTGGTGGAGTCCCCGTCCCTGGAGGTGTCCAAGGAATGCCTGGACGTGGCACTCAGTGCTCTGGGCTGGGGGACAAGGTGGGGAGGGGGCACAGGGTGGACTCAATGGTTTTGGAGGGCTTTTCCATGGACTTCCAGCTCCCAGAGCCTTTGGAGCTGCTGGAGGAGGAGGAGGAAAAAGAAGAGAAGGAGGAGGAGGAGAAGGAGGAAGAAGGCTTCTCACTGACCTGGTCCCCAGTTCCCACACCAAGGTGCCACAAGCCCCCCAAACCACGGGGTTCAACACCCCCCGATCCGGTCACGGCGCTTCCCGAGCGGAATGGGGAGGATTTTCCAATATAAAACCAGCAGCCGGCGGGTGAATTAAGGCCGTTAATTGAATTTCCTCCGTCGGCGGAGCCGGGGCCGGTGGGAGGCGGCAGGAAAAGCATTTGATGTGCTGGAAAAGCTGCGGATTCCGAGCGCGGTGGGGTTTGGGGTTGGTGGGTTGGTGGTGATTTTTTTTTTTTTATTATTAATTTCTTTTTTTAATTTCAAGTCGGTCATGAAAAGAGCCCCACTTCGAGCAGCTAATGACTCTCATGAATTATTTCTGTTGGTTTAGGCACCCGCTCGGCTCTTCAGTGTTATCAAGGAAGGAGAAGGGATTCTGTTCCCAGGGAGTGATGCTGTTTGGGGGGTTCAGGGGATGAGGGATCGGTCACCCCCTGACCCTCACACCCCACCCTCAGCTTTGATGGCGGTGCCATGGTGCGTTTTGGGAGAGAGAGATGGATTCCATGGATGTGCTGGAGATGGATCAGGAATTGGTTGGATGGCTGTGAGCAGCAGGGACCAGTGGTGGCCCTCGGGGGGCCGTACTGGGACCAGTGTTATTTAATATCTTGGTTTATGATGCAGAAGAAGGGATCACAGAATCATGGGATCATGGAAGGGTTTGGCTTGGGAGGGACCTTAAAGCTCATCCCATCCCATCCTCTGCCATGGGCAGGGACACCTTCCACTACGCCAGGTTGCTCCAAGCCCTGTCCAACCTGGCCTTGAACACTTCCAGGGATGGGGCAGCCACAGCTGCTCTGAGAAGTGCCAGGACAAGGGGAAATGGCTTCCCACTGACAGAAGGCAGGGTTAGATGGGATATTAGGAAGGAATTCTTGGCTGAGAGAGTGGTGAGGCCCTGGCCCAGCTTACCCAGAGAAGCTGTGGCTGCCCCATCCCTGGAAGTGTCCAAGGCCAGGTTGGACAGGGCTTGGAGCACCCTGGGATAGTGGAAGGTGTCCCTGCCCGTGGCAGGGGGGTGGAATGGGATGATCTTTAAGGTCCCTTCAACCCAAACCATTCCATGACTCCACGATGAAAATCAGGTGATTTTGGGGCTGCTGCTGCCTCCCCTCTCCCCAGCCTGGCATCAACATTCAGCTCTGGTGCCAAAACGGGTGCTTTTCATGCCAGTTTAGTTTTATTATTATGCCAAAAGCTCCGTTCTCGGCTGTCTTCTCCCAGCGCTGCTGATTTACTCTGCGAGGGGTTTAATTACCCCATTCAGCCTTCCTTAAAACACGAAAAACGGCTCGAGTCTGGGAGCAATTAAAAGGCAGCGGAGTAGATCAGCCCATCAGAGAGGAGAGAAGTAAATCAAACAATTAAAAAGCTCGTTTGGCACAGAGGGAGAAGGGTCCCACTCCAAAACCCTCCCCTGGGTGGGAGCCCTGGGATGGGAGCTGTGGGTTTCCTCCCAGTCACTGGGCTTAGGGTGGTACTGGGAGCAACTGGGGGGATGTCACTGTATGGGGAGTGCACTGGGATGCAGGGGGGTGGGGGCAGACACTGCTGATCTGACCCAGCCCCCCCTTTGGGTTCATCCCAGCACCCCCAAATACTGGTCCAGTCCCACTTACGGCTTGGCAGGATGGGGATGGGGATGCAGGGACAGGATGGGGTCACACGCCCCCACCACCCACCCCCAAGGATTCCTGCTGGGGTTTTGGGGTGGGTTTGGGGTGGGTTTGGGGTTTAGGGGTGGGTTTGGGGTTTAGGGATGGGTTTGGGCTTTGAGTGGGGCTGAAGCTCTCTCTTGTGGCGAGACTGGTCCATTACAGCCCTACTCGAATCATCGAGCCCCAGCATCTTTGGGGGGGGGCCCTGGCGCAGGAACAAGATGGAATCTTAGGTGGATCATCCCGAGTGGGAGATGAGGCTGAGGCTCAGGAAACTGAGGCTCGGGAAACTGCAACCAGCCCGCGCTGACAACCTTGCTCCACCTTCCGGCAGTGCACGGGTGGATCCGGGAGGCTGGAAGAGCCCATCATTCCCTTCACACCCCGCTTTGCCCTCACTGGGCGAGGCTGAGCCCGCGCCAACTCATCGCAGGTGCCGCCAGCGCCTCCACGCTCGCGATCGGGCGCAGTTTGTCCCCCCGCGCGCGCCGTAGGCCATATAGTGCCCGGATGCGGAAGTGCGGCGGTCACTTCCTGCTTGTGCGCGGCGGCGGCTGGTGCGGGATGGCGGAGCGGGCGGGGCGGGGGATCCGCGGCCATCGGGGCCGGGGGGCACGGCGCGGGGACAGGGGGGCAGCGGAGGGGGGCAGGGGGTGCGGGTGGGCTCGGTGGCGCGCGGGGAGGGCGGGGGCGGTGGGTGCGGGGCTGCGCTGACGCCATTTTGGGTCGGTTGTGCCGCAGGTTGGAGCGACTGAAGGCGCGCTGGGACCATGGTGAGGAGGGGGCGGCGGGCAGGGGGCTCCTGGGGGTGCGGGCTGTGCTGTGGGCCCGGCGAGGGGCGGGGGGATCCCCCCGGGGGTCCTTGGCCTGTCTGTGCCCGGGCAAGGCGGCGGGGGGCTCTGTTTTGCCGAGTTCTGGACCCGGTGCAGAACGGGGGGATCCCCCCGAGGGTTGGGAGGTCCTTGTCTGGCCCGAGACAGGGTGCACATCGGGATGGGGAGGGGTGTCCTTCCCTGGGGGGAGAGAGGATAGGGGTCTCTGTCTTCTTCAGTCACGAGCGTGGTGCAGGATAAGGGGGGTCCTGGGCGTTAATGGGGATCCTGGGGGGCTCGGGGGGTCCGAGGGTGGTCCTGGGGGCTCGGGGCAACCAGAACGTGAGTTGGGGATGAGCTTTGGGCTGGGAACACACCCTCAGAGTGTCCAAGGCCAGGTTGGAGTGACCTGGTGGAAGGTGTCCCTGCCCCTGGCAGTGGGTGGCACTGGGTGGGCTTTCAGGACCCTTCAACCACCCCATTCCATAATCCCATGAGTCTCCTTGCCTTCCCAGCCTCGCAAGATTGAGGAGATCAAGGACTTCCTGCTGACAGCACGGAGGAAGGATGCCAAGTGTTAGTGGAGGGTCCTTGGGGGACAGGGTGGGATGGTCCAGCACAGGTGCCTGTGGACACTGAGCAGCTCCTGGGCTCGGGAGCACTGAGGGACAAGTGCTGGGGGTCTGTGGGTGACACAAAGTGGCTTTGGCTCCGTGTGGACCGAGATCACCCCTGTGAACAGAGGGGCTTGGGGTCCAGAGGGTCCCTCAGGGTGTTCCCAGCCACCCATTCCCACTGCTCCTTGCCCCAGGGTGTTCTGCCAAGCCCCAGGTGCAGCTCCCTGGGGCCATTCCCAAATAAGCCCCTGCTCTGAAGAGCCCTGGGCTGTCAGGGAGCTCTGTCACAACAGAGGATGATTCATGCTTAGGAGAGTTCTGTTGCCAACACAAAGTGACAGTAATTGTAACACTTGCACTGCCCTGTCTTGGTCTTTAACAACACCTGGGGAGTGTTCCCTCTCCTGTCTTGTTTGGATGGGCTGTCATGGGATCCCTCGGGAATGTTTTGTTACTCTGGGTGTGGGCGGGAAGGGAGAGCTGAGCACTGGGGGAGCACCACTGAGCTCTTCCTGCCATTCCTACCCGGAGGGCTCTGCTCAGGGAAGGGGTTGGGGTGACTCTGAGGTGTCTCTACCCTCCTCCCACAGCCGTCAAGATCAAGAAGAACAAGGACAATGTGAAGTTCAAGGTGCGCTGCAGTCGGTACCTCTACACCCTGGTCATCACTGACAAGGAGAAGGCCGAGAAGCTGAAGCAGTCCCTGCCCCCAGGTATCCCAGGAGAACTGAGGGGGACAGGGCTGGGATTGAGGGGAGCACCCTGAACTGGTGCCACCACCCTTGCCTGCATCAGCACTTGGCATTCCCAGGGAGTCAGAGGGCTCCAGGCACTACTTTCATGGATGGTCCCAGTGGAGACAGGGGGCTCCCAGCACCTCTTCCTTCCAGGGCTGAGCCCCCCCTAATCCATGTCCTCTCTCCTGCACAGGTCTGGCCGTGAAGGAGCTGAAATGAGCCGGGATGGGCCGTTCCCCTGTTGGATCCTCTGTGTTTGTTACAATAAATAAACAAATAAGTAAATAAAACACTGTTCTGGTGTCACCTTGGGGGGTTCACACCTTGCGGTGCCTCTGTCTGAGGGTCCCAGGGCCGTTTTAGGGGGGTGGGGGAAAACCAGGGCTGGATTTTTGCCGGAGTACGGAATAGTGCAAAACCCGGACTGGGTTTTTCTGGAGTACGGAATGAGGTAAAACCCGGACTGGATTTTTGCTGGAGTACGGGATGAAGTAAAACCCGGACTGGATTAAGCATGTCTGTCCCCTGTGGCTGGGCCCTCCATAGCGCCTGGTCCTTGGCAGGAGGTGAGAGGGTGGGGTTCCCCTATAGCAGGGAGGGGTCGTGCTGGGCTGCAGTGACCCCATGGCAGGGAGGGTTGGGTTGTGCTGCCCCCATAGCAGAGGGTGATGGGGTGCAGTGCCCCCCTATATCAGTGAGGAACGGGCAGTGCCGCCCTATAAGAGGGGGGG